CCGAGCTGACAACTGTTCCCCCAATAACGTTCTTCTAGTTCTGCAATCAAGTCCAGAGGCATTACCTTATTGTCTTTCATTCTTGAGAACACTTCCTTGAGCTGTGCATCATCTGTGTTTGCTGTGTAACTGTCTCCATAACAATCATACTCACGAGCAAAATGTTCTTTTGTGTCAGGAGACATGTGTATCATAAAGGCTGGTTGCCAAGGCACCAACATTTTGCTTTGAAAACACTGAAGGAGCCACTCTGCCCTCACCACATCATATTTGTTGGAAGCAATAATGTTTTTCACTCTGACATTCTCAGCTCCTGCAATGACACAATAAGTCTCTGGCCCTGGGTTCTGTACCACACTGCCACCACATTGGGCTATTCTGCTTTCCAGCTCAGACTTTGAGTACTTTCCTGTTCCTGTCATAACACAAAACTCAACATCTTCAAATACATTTGAAACCTTGCTTACACTAGAAAGATCAGGAGCTTTAAACTGTTCAGCTATTCCAATTATCTTCCTCACCTTTGAGACAGTTTTCCTTTTTTTCTCATGTGGCTCATCATTCTCATCTATATGAAGGTGCTTAGATGCCAGCTTTCCTTGTGCTTTGCTTCTGAGGTCTTCTAACATATCTAAAGTCATGCACTCGTGCCATTCTTTGTCTTCCCTTATCTTCTCAATTCGGGGGAATCTCAAAGTACAGTCAGTTTTGTACATATCACTGTCAACAATCTCAGCTGCCTTGATCTGAACTATGACAGAGTTGCAAGGTTCAATGTACATTTCTGGTTTTTCAGTTCCACACAAGATGTTACCAGGAGGATCCTTCCTATTGTAGGGCTTCCAGTGTTTAGACAATTTCAAGCCTAGATCATACAACTCTTTCATAGTATAGCCAGAGCCAACACGACAAATGGAGTGGAAAATGGTCGGCTTTTCATTTGGAGGGGGTGTCTCTGCAACAGCGCATAGAAAATGAGACATCATTCCACCACGAGACCCCTTCCCCCAGTAACCACCAACAATTAAAAGATCCAGTTCATCCATCAGTCCATTGACATATTCTGGTTTGATTTTTAACCAGCCTTCCCCACGTTTGTCAGGCTTGTAAGTGGACGTGGGATCTTTCACCATAATTCCTTCCTCTCTGTTATCTATTGCTTCATTTAAAGCATCAATTACTTCTTTTCTTGTTCTGGCACTTTTCTTATGGACAATATGTATCCTGCCCTTTACCGGGGTAAATACACTACTTAAGATTTCATATCTTTTGCTTAGTACTTCATGCCCCAACTTCTGATCATTAACCATCAATACATCAAATACACAGAAGCAGGTCTGCAGATCAGAGTCCTCCACCATTCTTTTTATGTCAAATTTGTTTCCTTTTTGCATAAAAGTTTGTGCCTCAGGATTGTAAGCCATCATTTCACCATCAAGAATGCAATTTTGTATATTGCTCTTAAATACATTATGAATAAATGGTGTTAATGAACCTTCAAGGGGTGAAGCACCAAACTGCTGAGTATAGTCAAACCCATTTCGGGAAAAATACTTGTACACATCCCCATCTTTGTGCATCTGCATGCGTTCACCATCCAGCTTAGTTTCTATGTAGAATGTCTGGTTACCCATTTGTTTCTCAATTTGCTGGACATCTGCAATAGCAGCAAGCATTGGTTTAAAGGCAGAAAACAACATGATAGAAACATCACTAAGTGAGACAGAGGGATCGTGCAGTTGTCTGCAAACTTTTTCCAAATCGGTAGTAACATTGTGCAATTCAGCAGCATCAGGATGAAAAATGGAAAATATAGTTTGTTGACTAACACCAAGCTTTAAATCCTTTATAATCATTCGGATAAGCCATTTTTGTTCCAGTGCTGTGCTCTGGCTAATTAACTGAAGAAGACTTTTCTTTAACTGACCTTTGTTTTTAGCAACATTATTATTAGATATTGCATCTAAATGTTCATTGACTTGCTCTATTGTCAGTCTGCCTTGTTTTGGGCTCCTAGGTTTTAGCACAAAGTATGCAATCATTGCAAAATCTCCAGCATCTCCACGTGAGCCCGTAGGTGTTCTGTAATTTAAAAGCTTTGCAGCATCTTTTCCATCTTTTGGTAAATTAAGCAGTTCAATATAGAGCTTTGCAAGCATAGTTTCTTTAATTCCATATGCCATCCTTTCTCTTTCCAACTGTGGGAGAATAAGTCGCATAGCTGGGTAAAAGGAATCTGTGACATCTTTCTCTTTTTGATGAAGCGCATCATGGAATTTCCTCCAGGAATCCAGAAAATCCTTGAAACACTTGGTTTTCTCTGGACGAGATTTGCACTTCTGTATTCGCTCCAGAGTAGAACACAGATCTGCAAAAGGCACGTGGGAGGCCACCGTCTTTTTAGGAGGAGGTTGTGAAGCAGGTGCAGAAGCCATCAGTCTGTTTTTCACTGGGAACAAAATAAAATTACAGATTTGTAAAGAAAAGCCAGCACGTTATTCTGTCTATTAAAAAAACTTATCTCTACTTAGGATTTACGTTGTTTCTCATTTTTCTAACTAAGATCTCGCCACTGTCTTAAAGGTCGCCAGATGGTCGCTTCTCAAGTAAGGGTCAAACTCAGCAGCGAGGCTACGACATCGGGACACTGTCATCAGCTGGACAAAGGTCTGCGCGGCAGGAGAAGGCACCGCGCTCCCCTCCCGCTGCTGCCCAGGCGGGAGCTTCCAGTGCTCGCAGACCGATTTCCTCCTTCACCTTCCCCGAGAACGCAGCCTGCCCCCGACACCACCCGCTTCAGCCCCTGTCCCCGGCTGCTCCGTGCCCTCCGGGCGGAGGGAGCGGTGTCCAAGGGGGCCGAGAGGGACCGTACCGGCGCACCCCACACCCCAGCACGGCGCTGCCATGGCCAGAGCGCGGGGAGAGGAAGCCGCCCGCGGGCACCTCCCCCCTGGCACGGCACCAGCCAGCCAGGCAGGAAGACGGAGGCACGGCCACCCCAGGGGACACTCACGGGGAGCCGCGGCTACCTGCGGAGCCGGAGCGACACCAACCTCCCACCGCCCCGGAAGAGGAGGGCCAGCCCGGTGACGACACCGCCCGCGCTCCTCCCCCGGGCCGGCGCGGAGAGCGGTGGCGGAGCCCGGGGCGGGGAAAGGCGGGGAACGAAGGGAGAGCGGCCGGGCTGTGCCCTGGAAGCGGAACCGCGGCCGCGGTGACTTCCTGCCTCGGGAGGAAGGAGCGGCGGTTGAAGTTGCGCGTCGGGGTCTGCGCTGGCCCGAGGCCCCGGCGGCGGCCGCCCGGGAGGATGCGGCGGGTGCGTCTGGGGCGCCTCGGGGCCGCCGCCACCGCGGCACGGCAGGGGAACGGCCCCGGCCCCTGAGGCCGCGCCGGGCCGAGCCGGGGTGGCGGGGGCGGCCGGTGGGGTTCGGGTTCGGTTTGGTGTTCGGGTTCGGTTTGGGGTTCGGGTTCGGTTTGGGGTTCGGTCTGGGGTCGCGGGGGCGGCAGGCGGGACATTGTCCCGGGCGGTATGTGGCTCCTGTGCCCGCGCAGCGAGACGTGGCTGCCGAGGAGCTGCTCCCTTGGCAGCGCCGATAAAAGTTCCTGAGGGTGCCTTCCTGCGAAACCCCGGGAGATCTTAAGGTTTTGGGCAGCAAAGGCTCGCTCCAGTGTTTGGTTTGTCTCCACTGCCGGATGGAGGAATTCCTGCAAACGGGTGCTTGTATAAGGTGGGGCTCATGGTAGCTGTAGTGTTCTTAATGGGCCAAGGGATTGCTCTGAAAAGGCTGAACTGGGTGTTTCTCTCAAGTCAGAAAGGAAGCAATTCAACAAGCGTCGAAATTACTCGAGCCTGTGGTCCCTAGAAAGTTCAGGTTCCAAATTAAATATAACCCAGCCTTGGTTTGTTGTTGTTTGGGTTTTTTGTTTTAACACAGTATCACCGTAAAGCAAGACCTTGAATCGCGATGATACTTTGTACCAGTTGTCAGCTGGGAGGAGAAGTGTCACGCGAGTTCAAGGAAAAACATTCTCAGTTATCAATGTGTACAATTTGATGCAGAGCTGTGTGTGTTGGCTGTTTGCCAGAGCCAGGAAATGTGTGACGCTTAAGTTATTTAAGTTATTTTTGCGGTACTCTTTTCTTTGTTAGGATTAGCTACTTTACTGTTGTTTTTCCTTTTTTTTTTTTTTTTTTTTTTTTAAAACGAGTGTCTTTCTAGTTCTAGAAAGTATTCTTAGTACTAAGAAAGTGTGTTTTTCTGGTCCTTACTAAGCTTGTAGGTTTTCTTCCGGATCAGTTCCCCCTCTGAAACTTAATTTTTTTATATGTGAGGACCTAACATTTCTGCATACAGATGTCTTCTGAATAAATATGAGTAAATGTAATGCTTGTGCAAATCTTGTCTGGATCTGGAGAAGGTAGAGTCTAGGAAAAGGAAGTGGAGACATATGTCATTAGGTGTTTCATAAGAACACAGAAAAATATTTGATTTTTTTTTATTTGAAATCCAAAGGATTGAAGTGAGTATTAAGACAACTTTTTTAAAGCTCATTAGTGAGGAAGCCATTAAACACCTGATTGTGCTTCTTAGCACTAACTTTAAAGCTACTTATGCACTAAAATCTGTTTTAAGGAGAGAATGTAATGTTTGTTTCTATGCACTATGCGTATGTGCTATATTATTATTATAATTATATATGTATATTACTTTAATATTACAGTATTGTCATATACTGTGTGTTGTGTATATAGACATTTCATTGTGATTCTTGGACTTCATTATAAGATGTTTTCAAGTTCATCAAATGTTTCAAACAAGCATTCAGCTTGATAAGGGGAGCATGAGATGCACAGTTTCATTAGTGAAGCAGTTCTAACTTCTAGGGGGTTTGACTTTTATCACTTCTTAATCTTCTTTCAAGTTACAAGATAAACAGTAAATTACATGTGTAATTCAAAACAATTTTACTCAAAATTCATAAATGGAATTGTCTTTCAGGCAGAGATGAAGTCTGGGAAATCATCACATCTAAAGGTAAATGTTTTATGATATGATTAGTGTATGAAGATAGTACTGTTTAATATTAAAAATGTAAGCAGATCTACAGAACCTGTGGCAGATACAAGAGTAATTTCAGCTGCCATTCAAAATGAACGAAAAATTGTTCCCTAGTACTTTAAATATACACTTCAATTTTTGTGATATTTTTTCCGTTCATAAAGGTGTTAACCATTTAAAAATAGCATTAGGGCAAAATAAAATGTTGTTAAAACGCCTTGATCATAAAGAGGGTTTTTTTCCTCAAAATTTTTATTGTTGTGAGTGATTTGTATTTTCAGTAGCTACCTAATTTTGGGACTTGTAGCTCCTGTGATAGAACATAGAGGTCTGCAGTAGTTCCTAGGCAGTGGGTTCAGCAGTGGAGATGTATAGATACAGGGGCGTGTGTGTGTATATCAACATACGTGTATACACAAAGCTGAGACTCACCACTTCCAAATTTCCTTTCTGTCTTGAGAGACAGAACAGTTCCATGGCAGTTTTAAGCCAAAGGTACAATAGCAGTTTGGCTAAGTCTTACTTTCACTAGGTCTTAACCTTGAGTTGGGCCTCATTGCTGTTCCTGTGTGGCAGTTGTTTCCACAGTAAAGCTTTGTATTTCAGCACTGTCTTCTGCTTGGCTTTTAAGCTTACGAGCATCACCAAATGAATACTTGTAGGAAGTGTCAGGATTCCCAAAGGCTAGGCTTTTTAATGCACGTTATCAGAGGGACAAGAGGAAAATTTTTTAAATTACTTTATGCTTATTTACATAGCCTTTTGCTTAGTATGAATAATCAGTGATTATGAAATAGTGTGAATGCTATAAAATGGGATGTGACTCCTTGTTACAGGAAAATCTTGTTTTCAAAGTTACAACAATTACAGTGCTGTAATACAATATTTCTTCCAAAAAAGTTTTTTTGTTTTTTTTTTTTGTTTTTTTTTTAAGTGAAGCAAGAATGCCCTCCAAGAACTTAAAGGGATGAATGCTTTTTGATATAACTGAGACATCAGACAGTTATGGGGCAAGTCCATGACTGGTGGTTATAGTCTAGGAACAGAAGCAGTCTTGTCTAGAGAGAGGATCAGGTTTGTCCAGGTGGTGGGTTGGTGGGTCTGCTATTTCTCAAGTTGACTACATCAGGTCATCAAAGTCTAAATACACTGTTCTCCCACTCTCATGCCTTTTCCAGATTATTCTGGCCCCCTATTTGTCACAAAATTAGAGATGCAAGAGAAATGTAACACATGCTCTTCATAATTCATGACAGAATATTATGACTTATGTACAGACTTATGTACCATAAGATGTTACATTCTAAACTGCTTGAAAAGTTTATAACTTCCCATCCAGCACACCAGGAGTGGGAAATAAAGACTAAAAAGAGAATGTTGTGTATGTCTGTTGTCTTGCAGTATGTTGAACCATCTCAAATCTCATATGCTTCAAAAAGTGCTGACCTTAGTGCTCACTGAATATTACTGTATTAGCTTACCATTTTTATTTCTGTCCTTCAAGTGGAAATTCTGTTCATATCATCTTCTGCTGTCCAAGATAGTGTTTGGAAGGTCTGTTGCTTTGAGCTCTTTGGAAAGTGTGAGTTGCAGCTTTATTGAGAATGCGATTGTATTGATTTGACTTAGAGTCTCTTCTAGGCCTGTATGCTTGTTTGAGAAACCATCCCTTTCTGCTCTAGTGATCTTTTAATTGGTATTGAAAGGTGGGGAGGAACCTAGGAAAAAATTGTATCTTATTTTCCTAGCTAACAAATCTTGCAACAAGATACGAAGGCCTAGAAATTAATGGAACCAGTGAAGTTTCATACAGCTGGGGAAAAAACTACTAGTAATGTAATTGTTCAGTATTGCAGAGTAGTCAGCTTTATTTAAATATGTAGTGAGCGTGAAGAATGTGGCTGTGTAGTTTGCTCTGTAGTTAACGACTTATTGTATGTTGAGCTTTAGTTGTAGAATGCACTGGCTTTGCAATTCCAGTTGCAAAGTATTTGTATATACCTATATATACACCTATCTATATATATATACATCAGAATTAGTCACACAGCAGCACTCAGTAGTATAATACTTTGATAATATTAGCCTGAAATAGAAATGGTGCCCTTCTCATGAAACTAAAATGGCTTATAAAATCAGCTGTAGTTATCAGTCTCCAAATAATAATCCTTAGTGTACATGAGATAGCCATTGCAAAACTTTATCACTTGAAGTGAAATTTTTTTGTCTCTTAGTAGTTTTATTTAACAATGGGTCTCTTATTCTTCTAAGTATCTTGTTGAGAAAGTGTTTTTGGAGTTTCTTTCATTTTCTAAGAAAGCAAAATGTTGAATAGTGTAGGTAAGAAGAATAGTTTTACTGTCTTGTTTTCAATGTTCTTATAGTCTTGAAATGTAATGCAGGAAATATTTATTAACTTCTTTAGGAAGTTCTCTTAGAAATTGAAGTATCTATATGTCTTCTAATCATTGTGAGTTCTTTTCAAGGGAAATGGATCACAAGAATTAAATTTTCCTACATACAGTATCTGTGCATACTTGGATATGGATAATCAACATGAACGTAAAAGTAGTAAAAGAGAACAAAGCTGAGAAAACTGCTCTTTTAGACTACTTTATATTTCACCAGTTTTATGTATTTGGAGTAGATGCACTATATAAAAGCTTAATATCTCGTTGGGTTTGGTTGATACATGAATCTTAAGATGTGACATATTTATTTTAATTTCTGATTTAATTCTGATTTTTGCATAAAATAGAGATGGCAGTTTTTCCTGGTCAGATTGGGTGCTTATATCTGTGGAATGCAAAGGCTGTACCTTTTATCACTCAAGCCTACAAAGATGGCTGGTATAAAATGCTTAGATGGATCTCTGCACGTCAGACTCCTTTGGAGTTTGAATTCAGATTATTTCTGTGCTTTATCATTTTAGGAGATTATAACTTTGTGTCTAAAGTGTGCTATTATCTGCTATATAGCTTAGTGTTCTCAAACAAGTGAGTTTGTGTTCTCCCTTCCAGGTAGTGTGATTATTCAATTCAGTGGTGACTGAATGGTTACTATAGTTTTTGTGTAGGTTTGGCAGTTTTTGTCTGTTTCCATATGAACCAGGAGTGAATACTGTGAGATCTTGTATGGATACTGGGAGACATAAATTTTGATTGGAAACAAGGTTTAATCCATTGTCATTAACATCACTCTCCTCATTTTATGCTGTATGTTTTTGTCATGAGTCTTTTCAGCAGTGCTTTTCTTTGACCAAAGGATAATGTATTTAACTGACTTCAGTTGTCTTGCATGATGATAAAATCTTCCATTCAGCTAAAGACTTAATGAGGGTTACTGATCTGATAGTGGAAAATTGTTGTTATAAATCAGAAGCAATCAAAATATAGCAAAAAAGCTGTCATAAATGTAACTACAATATGGTCTCTTAGTATAGTGGAGTCTCTCTTCTGAGCAGTTCAGGTGTTGCTCTGTAAACACAGTTGATGAAGATGCTGAAAGACAGCCACTAACCCATAGCAGTGCTGGGATGTGTGGTGAGCCTCCACTGGCTGCAGAGTGACGTGCACAGGCTTACTGCATGCTACTTAGCAACTTAGAAATGAAGGCTGTTTTGGTTTGTGTTCTCTGAATTCTAGAGTTGCATGAGCAGCTTTGACAAACTGGTGATACAGTCCGTGTGGTTGTTCTCTTGCTTAGTAGGAAAGTCTGAGGAAAAGCGCAAGTTACTGTGATATCAGTCAACCAGTCTTCTAGTGCTGTTAATGGGTTGCCTGCAGAAATACTGTACATGGGATTTTGAAGAGTTCTAAAGCCTTTCCTTATGATTCCATTTCTGCTTGTTTTACAGAGTCACATGGTTTCCTAAAGTTCAAAAGGAGTTTTCCACCAAATTTTATGTTAATGCTCCAATACATAGACTTGTCATTATTCTTCTGCAAGTACAAATGCTTAAATTGCTTTTGCCTTTTTCATCTTCCTATATTTATATGTATACATTTGGGTTCTTTTGCAGGATTTACTTGGAGTAAAAGATCACTGACTTCTACAATGGAAAAATCATGGATGCTTTGGACCTTTGTTAAAAGATGGCTACTAGCTTTGGCTTCCTGGTCTTGGAGTCTCTGCCGTATTTGTCTTTTGCCCTTGATAGTGACCTTTCACTTGTACGGAGGCATTATACTCCTTATATTAATATTTGTATCAATAGCGGGTATATTATATAAATTCCAGGATGTTCTGCTTTACTTTCCTGAACAGCCCTCTTCATCACGCCTTTATGTTCCTATGCCTACTGGTATACCACATGAAAACATCTTCATCAAAACCAAAGATGGAGTTCTTCTCAATCTTATTCTCCTGAGATACACAGGGGACAATGCAGCATATTCTCCAACCATCATTTACTTTCATGGGAATGCAGGCAACATTGGCCACAGGTTGCCAAATGCTTTGTTAATGCTGGTAAACCTGAAAGTAAACTTAATTCTGGTCGATTACAGAGGGTATGGCAAAAGCGAAGGAGAAGCAAGTGAAGAAGGCTTGTACTTAGATTCCGAGGCTGTCTTAGACTATGTGATGACTCGGTCTGATCTTGATAAAACAAAAATTTTTCTTTTTGGCCGTTCCTTGGGGGGAGCAGTAGCTATTCATTTAGCTTCTGAAAATTCCCATAGGATTTCTGCCATCGTGGTGGAGAACACCTTTCTTAGCATCCCATACATGGCCAGCACTTTGTTTTCTTTCTTTCCAATGAGATATCTTCCATTATGGTGCTACAAAAATAAATTTCTATCCTACAGAAAAATCTCTCAGTGCAGAATGCCTTCTCTCTTCATCTCTGGGTTGTCTGACCAGTTAATTCCACCTGTTATGATGAAGCAACTTTATGAATTATCCCCAGCTCGGACTAAGAGATTGGCGATATTTCCTGATGGAACTCACAATGACACTTGGCAGTGCCAGGGTTATTTCACTGCACTTGAACAGTTCATCAAAGAAGTAATAAAGAGTCACTCCCCTGAAGAAATGGCGAAAACATCATCTAACGTAACAATAATATAATTGATATTCTTCTTTGGGGGTGGGGTGGGGCAAGTACCTGCACTGTACCTTGATTTGTGATCAGTGGTAAAAGAATGTCTGTTTTTAAATGTATGTCGTGTCTGTACTTGCCTAAAGAGTGAAATTAAACTTGGAAAGGTCTGATATTTTATTAAGGTGTTCCAGATAACTTTTACATTTGCAGCATTGTAAATGAACCATTTTATGTCTTTCTCATACTTTTTTGGTATCTCTGTCCATATATTCTATTTGTTTGATATGTACAACAGATGCTATTAAAAAAACTTGCTACAAAAGTAGTACAGAATGTATTTAGAACATCAGGAGGCTCTTTGGTATTCACTGCTGTATGTGTGAGCTTTTTGGACAGCCATGGTTAGCACAATGATTTGTTGCTTCTCTTAGAGTTTATTTAAAATGTGCCATGCATGAGATTAGTGTTTTCTTTCTTAAAATTTTATATTATGCAAAGTGGGAAGTCTTTAATGTGCTAAATAATATAAAATATCATAAAGGGTAGAGTATACTTGCAGGTATACTATCCTGGGTTATTACTGGTTTCTATGGTTATGCAAACTTACATATGTCAAACTGCAGCTAAAGATGAAAAGATACTTTCCTTATTTTCATTTACTATTTGTATTATAATAGTGCCCAGAATGTTGTATGTGCCTAACATTGTGACTTGAGGATTTTACCCAGGCAATTTCTTTATAGAAAATAGAAGTAACTTTTTCTGAAAGAGATCAGTGCAATCTAAGCTCCTTTCTGCCTCAAGCTCTCCTCACTAATGTACAGGCAAACTATTTGTTAGTACCAGCTTGCTTGTGCATTTGAGGTAGTATTTCTTGAGGCAAAATGGGTGGTCATACAAGGTAAAAGTAGGTTTTTGTGTTCAGACTTTTATGCTGCTGTAGTTAAATATTTGTTCCCTTTATTTATACTTCCTAAAGAAACACATTCAAATAATTACCAGGGATCACATGAGATATAAATGTGTACAGTTGTTACAGTGATTAAAATGAGCAGATAATTTTAGATGGGTCATATCATTGAGGGTAAGAAGACTGTAGGCAATGTTTGACTGGAGCAACAAGCCAAGGCAACTGCACGAGGTTCAGCCGGAGGAAAGACCAGGGTCACAACAACCCCATGCAACACTACAGGCTGGGGAGAGAGTGGCTTGAGAGCTGGTCAGCAGAAAAGAGACTTGGAGATGCTGGTCAGCCCCTGGCTGCATGTAAGCCTGCAGTGTGTCCAAGTGGTCAAGAAGGCCAATGGCATCTTGGCCTGTATTAAAAAGTGTGGCCAGCAGGACCAGGGCAGTGACTGTACCCCTGTACTTGGCACTGATGAGGCCACATCTCAAGTCCTGTCCTCAGTTCTGGGCTCCTCACTACAAGAACAACATTGAGGTGCTGGAGTAAGTCCAGAAAAGGGCAACAAGGCTGGGAAGGGTCTGGAGCACACGTCCTGTGAGGAGCAGCTGACGTAGATAGTGGTGTGTAGTCTGAACAAAAGGTGGCTCAGGGGAGATCTTATTGCTCTAGAACCACTTGAAAGGAGGCTGTAGCAAAGGGGTCAGCCTCTTCTGCCATGTTTCAAGTGCAAGGATGAGAGGAAATGGCCTTGCATCAAAGAAGGTTCAAATTAGATATTATAAAACAAATTTCACTGAAAGAGTGGTTTGCCATTGGGCTAAGTTGCAGGGAGGTAGTGGAATCACCATCTCTGGAATCGTTCATGAGTCATCTGGATGTGACACTTGGGGATATGGTTTAGGCATGATTATGGTTAGGTTGATTGTACTAGATGACCTTGAAGGTCTCTTCCAACATTGATGCTTCTGTGATCAAAGACATATGCTGTTGGCTCAGTCTGTAATGGAGTGTGGGAGCTGTTTAGATCTCTTCTGCAGATTTAATTGCTCATCTGCTGCAGCTGAGTTTGCCTCTTCAAATTTTTTTTTTTTTAATGGAAAGAAAAAACTGGAAGATTTTCCACACACTCTGTAAAGTTGCCCTTTGGATTCAAATTTTTAAGTAAACTTGTCTGTTATGTTGTTCTGACTCAGAAAAGCATCTCAGCACACACTTAAAATCTGTTTCCTGAGGGACATATTTTAAGCTTGTGCTTAAGGTCTCTGGTTGAATAAAACTGCTTTCCTGAACTGGTGCCTTAATGGTTATGCCTCCTGAAAAAAAACATACATCTTTGTGGTTCTATGGATGTAAAAACATAGAGCATACTTTTCAATTAGAGTGAAACCAAAACTATCTTTGCAACCTTAGAGTGGTGGATTTTTTTTTTGGTCTTCTGGGAGAGGGGTACTTGGGCAAGGTATACTGGAGAAGTTTGACTGGGGACTTGGAGATGAGGCTTTGTTTGTATAGCAGAAAGGGGTTGATAGACGTAGCATTGCCTTTCCCTGATGTATTCTACAGTGAGATGTGAGCTGCTTGCATAGATTGTTTCATCTACTTCACATTGTTTTAGAATAGAGATGGAGAGAGAGAAGGAAAATACTGCTTTTCTAAAATTCAGTTGATAAAGCCAAAAGAGTTGATTAGTTGTTGAAGACAGAATGAAAAGAAAGTAATGGTTTCAGAAGTTGTCATAACATTAAATACTATTGGGGGGGGGGGGGCGACGGTTCACAAAGCATCAATTTCTAAAGTAACATGGCATTTAACCCCACTTCCCACTAATCAAAACAAAACTCTCAACCCCAGAATACCCCTAGTATTATGTGGTACTTTTATACAAATGAAGTATTCCTATTTGAGCACACAGTTGTTAAGGCAAAGTCAGATGTGTGGTATTAGATTATGGCAATCTGAAACTCTTCAAAGTGGGCTGTATCTAAACATTACTTTCTTATTATCAAGCCATATATCTTTTCACTATATTGTCTGCATGACATAAATATGAAAATCTAATTTTGCAGGTGTTGGGTGTGAGCTGACACAACTGTCTTATAGGCATCCTTTACACTTATGTAGTTTCTTCCACCTTCCACATATGCACAGTTTTGTTTCTCACTTAATGGGTTAGGCACGTACACTTGTGAATGAATGTTATGCTATTTTTCATTGCATTGGTTGTGAAGTCCACTGAAGGAAAATAGGAGAGAAGTTATGTTTTTATGCAAATCTTCCACTGCTCTGCATACAATTCTTTAAGGGAGGGAGGGAGGAAACTTGTTCTGACAAGTGAAGACTTGTTTTTATTTCATGGACTGTGTGATGGAAATCACAGTTATCTGCTGCTAAAAACTGAACTGCAAGCAACATAGTAATAATAACTTTAAATTGCCAAATGGTGTGTTATGATATTGTTACATTTATTTTATTTAATACCATTATATATTTTCCCATAACAGTTATCCATTTGTGTATAGATTTTTCCGAAATATTTGTCCTGTAGTTATAAGTTTCTAGTTTGGGAAGGAGTTGAGTTCTTTTCACAGATTTGTAAGAAAGCCTTAGGTTAAATACCTTCATTAAAGGAATTTTCTGCTTTATAAGAGGAAATTTAATTAAAAAAAAAAATTAAAAACTAAGTTCCCAGGGAGGGGTCAGTAGTTGAACAGCTGTAGCAGTAGAGTTCCTTGTAAGGAAGCATAAAACCTTGTGTGTGCACACATGTGTATGGTTTTCATTAGTGGAAATACTTGAGGCTTCCTACTAACCCAAGTTTACATTCCCAGAATTTGTTTCTGAACGGTGAGATTGAGAGAGATAAGCTGTGCTTTCTTCTGGAGAAACATTAACTGGTTTAGCTGCCCTCATGTCCATTTCTCAGGTAAAATTAGAAATAGAGCACAAATGCATTTGGTAGGCTATGGACAATCTGTCAGCTGAAGGGCAGAAGGATTAACTATTTATACAAAATATGCATATCAGCATCTCTAAGCTAATAATTGGATCATGGTGGATGTTCACAGTGAAGAATGCAAGGCAGAATTGAGAGTGCAAGGTATGGTCTTTTCTGTTAGCAAAAAGATGCAAACGTACCTCCATTTATATTTCATCAGTTCTTGAAAAATACATTTTTATTTTTGTTGGTGACAGGTGATTTTGCTAGGGGCACTTCTGCCAAATATAAAATTGGTGCCTCTTGCATGTAGTGGGATCAGCCTGATGTATCCTATTAGGTATAATTTGCAATGCCATCCTGCTTGTATAATTTAGAGTAGAACCCCACAGAAGTGTAAATAGAGATAACATATTAAAGTTCTAAATAACACTTATGTTTTGAATTCAGAAACAGTCACTGATTATGAGGTGCAAGCTTTTTATTTTATTTTTCTTTAATATATAGTTAAGGCAAAACTGTCTTATAAAGTATTCTTAGTTTTTGTAGACAAAGCATAAATGTTATTGTATATGTGCTAATTGTGGCAAAGTTTTACATTATCATTCTAGTTGGTTTTTACAATAAAGTTAATTTTACAAAAAACACTTTTCTATTTTTATGTACTGACATATGCAATAAATTGATACATTAAAAGTGCTGTTAATATCTTGTTCTAGTTTGTGGCCTGTCTTCAGTGTGTGTGAAGAGGTAGTTTTGTTTGCATGGTAACAGATCTACCCCAAGGTGTCATTTTGAGTCACTTACTAAAGCCAGAGCACATGGACTAGACATCTGCATTGTTAGATGTGGCCTTTGTGGACAGCTATTACAACAGGGGAAAAAACATATTACAAATAAGTTTCTAAGCTTTGTCAGGCAACCTCCTTTTCAGGAAGTGCTAGTAAGTAAATCTAGTATGTGGTAGCTCTCCATCACTTTCTACCACATTTTGAATTTCAAATTTTCTCTGTTGTCTGGGAGTCTGAGAGATGGTCTAAATGATATGTCCATTAAGAAGTATTTTGAAGTGTTCCTGACTAGTTTTACCACTTATGCTGGTGATATTTTAAATCTCAATTTTGAATCCTATAATGCCACTTAGATTTATAGTTAATTCCTACAGTTGGAGTGGGATACTCAATCTGAAGCAATTTCTACTTTCTTACAGAGAAATATTTTCTAAGCTTATATCACCTCTGCTCCCATTCAGCATGGTTAATATGAAATACCCAGAAAATAAGGGCTTATGCTGTCTTTTCTAAAGCTGCAAAATATGTGTCCTCTCCTGAATTACTGCGAGGCTTATAGTTCATTTTTAACCCAGTACCTAGGAAACAGGGCTGTGGGTGTGGGGTGTAGGTGTGGTACATTTGGACACACTGTTCAAGATACCTATTAATTTGGAATGAAAAAAATAAAAAACCTCTAATTTTTGTAAAGAAATGACAGTACAGGAACAACTCCAGATTTGGCTACTTCATGGGAATATTGCCCTGAATGAGAAGCAGGTTGCTGTCTTGTGAACTATGCCACTAAAACTTACTTGCACAGTGCTGTTCTGGAGAACACAAATCTTGCATTTGCTTTTTCTTACTTCAAAATTGATAAGCAGCCAGGCTACAAAGTGCAACCCAAACTGTGTATTGGAATGTCTCATTATGTTATGTTCATTTGGTTAGTAGGTGGGTATAGGCCTTCATATCAGGCAAAAGACCATATTTGAATTTTTCTCTGAATTTGCAAGTGCTGATTAAATCATAGTAAACATTCATGAGGGCTTATGAACATCTAAACTAAAATTGGAGCAACTCTGCCAAGAAGGGCTTGGGGGGTGCGGTGGCTGAGAGGCTGGACATGCCCCAGCCATGGGCACTCCCAGCCCAGAGAGCCAAACGTGTCCTGGGCTGCATCCAAAGCAGTGTGGGCAGCAGGGCAGGGAGGGGATTCTGTCCCTCTGCTCTGCTCTGCTCGGTGTGACCCCACCTGCAGTGCTGGCTCCAGCTCTTGATTCTTCAGCACAGGAAGGACATTGAGCTGTTGGAGGCAATCTAGAGGAGTGCCACCGTCTGATTAGAGGGATGGAGCACTTCTTCTTTGTGAAAAAGATGAGAGAATTGGGCTTGTCCAGCCTGGAAAAGAAATGGTTTTGGGTGACTTAATTGCAACTTTGCAGTACCTGAGGGAGGCTACAAGATAGATAGAGAGGCTTTTTACAAGACCATGTAGTGACAGGACAAGAGGGAAAGGCTTAAAATTGGAAGAGAGTAGGTATTAGATTAGATATTTGGAGGGAGTTCTTGCTGTGAAGGTGGTCAGGCACTGTAACAGGTTGTCCAGAGAAGTTGTGGATGCCCCATCCCTGAAAGTTTCCAAGGCCAGGCTGGATGAAAGTCTCAGCAATCTAGTGGAGGATGCCCTGGCCATGATAGAGGTGCTGGAACAAGATGATCTTTAAGGTCGCTTCCAACCCAGGCCATTCTATGACCCTGTGAAATGAAAGCGAGACCAAAGGCTTGCTGTCTGTTAAAAAGACCAAGTATAGACAGATAAGATTTTGAGAAAATGCTGAACTATTGGCTTAGCAAAAATTATTTGCTCCAAAGGTATTGAACATGCATGAGCTTTACATCTCTTTTTGGACCCTATTCGGGGTCTTCATTTTAGATTTTGTAGTGAGTTCTGTCTCTGTAAGTAGATAAGGAAGACACACTGATTATTTTCTGGATTTGTTTTGAAACATTGATGTGATTAATTTGTTATGCTTCAGCTTGGATGGGGGCAGAATAACTCTTGTATTTCTTGGAAAACAATAATTTTCCTTTCTCTGAAAGGCAATGCAGCTTAAGACCAGACTTGGTTTTACTGTATTAAAGAACCTGGTTTCACTCCCAACTTGAGATACATATTTAATAATCTGAAGCAATGAGCTGAATAATGCAAAGCTGTAAGGTGGCTGACAGAAACGTAAGTATGTTCATATACCATGTTCAGAGAGATGTTGCCGCTAGCTTGACAAGTCACTAAGGAACGGATTGTGCTTCTTGAGGACAGAAAAAAAAAAAGGAAGTTTTACAGCTGGTTTGAATTCCACTTAACTTCTGGTGTGGGCTAATTATTTACAAAAATTCAAAGGGAAAGGTCAGGCAGAGAACCCTTTCCTGTCTGTCCTCTAGAACTCAGGGACAGCATAGCAAATACGGCTACGAGGAAACAACATTATTATTTGAAAATACTGGAATCCTTGTCCTATGCTCTCTATTGAAGGTCTCCAGATTGTAGCAGCAGCAGAGCAGCCACTCCCACATGAAAGGCCATTTCTCCATGTTTATCTTGTTACCATACAAAAGCATTTTTTAGCCCATCTGTGCAAAATTTATTAAGTTACATAGTGTCAAAGAGGTGGAGAATTGCAGTTCTCCGTGTTGCTGCATAGCAAAGCCAGCGAGACTGTAAGAGAAGTGGGCTTCAGCTGTATGACAGAGCTCCTTTTTCCCTGGGCAGTAAGAAGCAATTGCTGTAACATCATGGGAAGGGCTAGAGGGAGGGAAGGGAAGGGGGGAAGGCTGCCATTAAGCAGCTGTGGTATATAAATCCTGGGTTGTCTTTTTATATTTCATATGTTTTTAAAATTATTTTCTAGCTGGTTCTGCTGCATACTTTGAAAGACACCTGTAATAATTGCTTTTCCTTTCTGTGTCAGTTCCTTTTCTCTTTGAAAGCACTGTAATAACGATGTAAAAAGTCACAGTGGCTGCAGTCAGATGTAGGTTTACTTTGTGTAGTATGCATTTGGACCTAAATTGTCTAGGTATCTAGAGAAATAAAATATTGCAAGGAATGAAACAAGGATGGCATGCCTAACATGTGCAGAGACATTTCTGTTATCCTTGGCAATTTTGAAATGTTGAGGAAAAGAGAAAAAATTACTCTTGTCACTTCAGAAAAAAATCTCATAGAATTTTTTGTTTTCCTTCTAACAAGGTAATTTATCAAATAAGGCTTTAACTGTTTGTATAACACATCCTTTATGTGCAAGGTATTCAACAGCTTCCTAGAAGTTAAAATAGTAAGATGTAAGATAGACAGCCACAGGAGTGGAGTATCCAGAAATAAAGTACTTTTTGGATCTATTTGTGAGGCAGAACTTGCCTGGATTTGCTACTGTGTAAGTTGTAGTTAATGGCTGAAAGAACTAATGAAGTGTACTTGAAGGGAATGTGCACTGTTTCAGAGGGAAATCTGTGGATGCTCTTAATACAGATGGATGTCCTTATTCGCAGAAAACTATAATACAGGATTTATTCTGACCTCCTCCAAAATAGTCCTCTTATTTTATCCACCTTCAGAAAGGGCTTGAAATTAAATGGAAAATTTCAGAATGGAACCTTTGCTTTTTCTGTGCTCCTCTATCTGTTCTGCACTGCCCTGTGTGGTAAGGGGAGATTTCTTGTAATAGCTACAGTGACCATTCTGTGCCTGTTTCAGAAGTATGTGGAGCTGGACCCTTGCCACGCCTTCGACAGGCTTGCCTGGATCTCTGGGTTGCAGCATCTGCACAACCTCCTTTTTAAAAACAGAGCACTTGTTTTTAAGTAAACTTTCATGTTTCTTCAGTAAATTGGGTTTTTACCCAAGCCTTCACAGTCATATCAACTGCTTCTCTTCTGTGCGTTGAACTTCACTATGGGTTTTTCCTGCCCCCAAAGAAGATGCTTTTGTGGTTAAAGCACATAACTGGATTTCAGGAAATCAATAATTCAGTTTCTGGTTAAACCACAAATTTCCTGTATGATTAGCTACTATCTCTGCCTTGGTTCCCCACAGATGTAATGATGATCTTTTATAAGTTTTCAGATTAGGAGGATCCATCTTGATAATTTAATCTGATGCACTGCATAATGGAAATGAAAAAAATTAATCACCTGCATAAAATTACAGGGCTTGTTTCTCCTGTAATATCTTAGAAGTTTTAACCAGCCTTAATTTTGTTCAGGAACCCATTTTCCTGTCTTGTAGTGAAACATTCTCACCTTTAAGAGTCTTCAGTGGTAATGTGTTGGGGTTTAGTTTTCATTTATTTATTATTTTGAATTTTACGTAAATGCTTGCTCTTTTTCTAGGAAGTGAAGAACTTGGTTAAGTAGAATTCTTAGACTAGCCAAGGCATTTCTTAATAGTTTTCCGTGGCTAAATTAAAGAGGTTTTTTAGTCAGTTAATCTGAGTTTTCAACATAGCTCATCCTTTGGGTTAAGGAGACACTATGGTGTATGCACAGATCATGTACTATGCATGCAAATTAAGACCATATTTTCAGAATACCTTTATTATAAGGGTTCATTCTTATTTGCTTGTGGAGTTAGATGGCCAGGACTAGATTCTGCAGTTTAATGCAATGACATTTTCTTTTGTAGAAATAGTTTGGAAAATGCTGCTTTGAACTGGTCTTGAGGTGGCCCCTAAGGTTTTCTGGCTGCATGTGTGTCTTGAGTCCAAAACTGTTGATGTGGTACAAAAGTTTGCAAAATGATTTTCAGGAAAGCTGTCCAGTAGAAGCAGACTGCTAACCAAAACCTGAATACAATTTCTGAGATTAGTTCCTTAGGTCTCCTATATTCATTCTGGATCTTTGATCTTTTTCACAGCTCAGTTTTGTCAGTCTTAGCTATATGCAAATATGTTTGTCAATATAAAAGCAGATGCTATTTCCTCACAGCATATATATCCAAATACTATACCTTTATTTCAACAAGAATATTCTACTGAGATCATGTGTTCAGCTGAAATTATCACCTTCCCATGTCTGCTGATGGGAGGCTGATCTGAGCACTCCTTAGTCCTCTTTAGTCACACCTTAGTTTAAAACACAGCAGGAATAGTATGTGCTAATCTTAATGACCTTGCTTTGCAGCTCTGCCAACGAGAGGAATCATAAGGAGAGTATGTTATGACAAGACATAGTGGCAAGCATTGAGGCACTGACTCCAGGTTCTAGGCTCTGCAGCTAGCATGGGGTTTTTGTTTGGTTTGGGGGCTTTTTGGGTTTGGTGACTTTTGGGGATTTCTTTGGAAGTAATTTTTGTGATCTGCTTTGATGTAATTAGCAATATGCAATTAACTAAAGCTCCCTTTGATTACATTAGAAGTTGTTCATCTAAGTATATGTCTAGGTAATTCATACTGGTTTTCATGATTGATCTCTTATTGTCAATAGTTATTGTTCCTCCGTTTTTGTCATCACAGAAGTTACATTTTCTTTTGAACCACATTACTGCTTATAAATCTACAGAACACAAGGTTGCCAACAGAGAGATCCCTTTGATGCTTACCTACAAATGCCTATGGAATTTAACAATTTCTCATATGTGGGCTGTTGTGATTTATCCTCATCTCCCCTTTGAAATTCTCATTGATCAGAATTATAAGAAAGAGGAAGCCAGATGTCTTACAGAAGTCCTCTATGTCACCACAATTACTTTGCCAGCCCAAATAATGACCCCATTTAAAGAGGCTGTGGAGGCTGGGAACAGCCTATTTTCTCTAGAAGTGGCTAGAGCACTGCTATTTATATACCGGTCTGATATTTTCTGATACATTAATGACTGCAGAGACCTCACTGGCCAATAGTTTCTTGGTATTCCTGGATAGCTAGTTATAATTTTCATTCTCTCACTTGGTTTCATTTTCTAAAATAGCACTTCTTTTCCAACTGTCACATTGTTTTTTATTTTTGGAACAGTCAGTACTAGGCTGGTAATGTTCTGATGTCTAGGGATACTTGAAGGCATGCCTGCTTAGTTCCAATAATTGCTTATTCTGTTAAAAAAAACCCTACATTAGTTCATATTAAATTTACTTCAAAAGGCAGCCCCATTTGCAGCTTAACTTAGCCTTTAAAATAGGAATAGAAATAGTATGGTATTCTATTTTTTTCCACCCCACACCAATTTCTATATAATTTCTCACAGTATGTATGTAGCTTTTAGGCACAAGATACAGGGTATATTTTTTTTCTTTTGCATCTAGGAATAGATTTACTTGTCTGTGCAGGATGTGTGTGGTTGTTAGAGATGGAAAAATAAAGAAAAGAGTGCCTTGCATCACAACGGAAGATGATAAAGCTTATAATCACACTTAATCTCTTGTAGCCTTAAGAAACAGAAGAGGGAGAGGCTACGGAAGTTGTTACTTTATTGTTGTTCCTCCTTCCTTCTCGTTCCCAACAGAATTAACTTGATCTGAGCTACTCTGGTAGGTGTTGTCATCAGGATTTATTGCAGTGTTTGAACTGACCTGTAAAAGTTTTCTCTTTTGCAAAGATAAAGTTTACTTACATGGTAAGAGGGATTGACTCCTTTCATTTTAGCCATAATTGTGATACTGTTTATCTTTTTTCTCTGTCCCAGACCACTGGAACTTATAACAAAGGGGTAAAAGTTAAATTTTGTATGAGAAGATAGAAAAAAATCACATGAACATATATGGGATATCTAGGTAGCCTTGCTGTTGCAGAGAAGAAAGGAATTCCTAATATAGAGTTTTAAGATGAAAAGACTTATAAAAAGATTAATTTAAACTCAGGATTCACCTGAGTATTGTCAGCATGCATGTTTAGAGTTTTGGGTTGTGCTTAATTTTAAATTCTCTAAATAAATATTTGTCTTTTCACCCTGTTCTTATTTCCCTCTCTCTTATTCTTTTCCATCCCCTAGTTTTCACTTCTTCTAGTTCCACTCTGCCAAATTTCCTCTCCCTGCTTCTTCATGTTCCCTTTTGCATTAATGCAGGTTCTTGAATTCTTTAGAGAGACTGTATTTATTAGCAAAGTTTAATAAAATGTCATCCCTTTTCAAGTTAGTTTGATGAACTGAACTGCAGAATTTGCGTCTTCATACAACTGTGAAACCTGTAATTTGTGACTCATACCTGGGAATGTTTTTCACTATGGTTTTTAGGAAAGGACAAAAAAATTATTTTGAATAATTTGTCCCCTCTGTAGGCATATTGGCACTTTAGAGATGAATATAAACATGTTAATATAGATGATATAATGTATATACAGAGTACATCTATATGCCTTCACATTCACAGAGGCACATGCTTGTCATACATGTATGTCTTTCAAGTAGCACTGGATGAAATTCTGCCAAGAAACTTTACATGGTTTCTGCACTTCTAGATAAGGCTCAAAATTACCGGTGGTACTGGCTGTGCCTAAATATAAAAATTAAGGGAAACGCTATAACAAGCTGCCACATAAATAACTAGTGGAAAGTGAAAGGAGGAAGGTAGCTTGTGAGAAAGTATTCATTTCCAAAATGCTGCACAGAGAGGTAAAAACAAAGGGAAGACACAATCTTAGATATTCGCTCTGTACATTAAGTTTAATGGTGCTATCAACAGCTTCATATGACAGGAAATGATCTGGGCGTTTTGTTCACTTATTCTGGATGCCCTTAGTTTCAGAGAGCAACTGCTAACATGGATTGCACCTCGGAAGGGGACAGCTGAACTCTCCCTCTGGCTTTAGTAAGGAAAGAGCAGCGATGAAATCCGTGGACTGTGTGCACGTCATCCAACAGAAGGATACCGCCTCCTCTCCCTCTGCCCCCCCTGGTGCTGCTTCAGGCGCCACGGGACTTTTTTCTGTCACATTCCTGTGGCTTGCAATACTCCTGTCCTCTTGTCTTGCAGCAGTGTCTCTTTACCATGTTATCATCCTGAAAACAGAACTAGAAGCTCTGCGCAGCGAGCTGATCTACAGCATCCAGGCAAGGTCTCCGCTAGACCAACCACTCGCGTCCCCCGATGAAAATAAAGCAGGTACCCCTGTTTCTCCCTTCCTGCAAGTGTCTGCAGCTGGCTCCACGCAGGTAAGCTGGAGGGCTGGGTTCTGGCTTGCAGAGCATGGACAAATGTGAGGCTGCTCTCACTGACTGTTGCTTCTCCTTGCTAGGAGAACAGGCTTGCTGGTACTGGCCCGGCTGAGAGCTCCCAAGAGGAAATCTGGAACGGGAGTAGAAACAGGGGCAGGCGGTCTGTTGACAACACAGAAGAAAAAGGTAAATGCCAGCTGATGCAGTGGGTTGGGATGCCACAGTTGGATACTGTCTAGAAAAAAGCAGGAGTGTTTAATTCATATTTTCTTTCTCCTATCAGTTGATCTGTGCTCCTGGAGCCAATTCTGGTTTTCAAAATTATTGGTGGATGAATGGTGTTAACCATAGGCATATTCTCTTAAAGGACAGAATATTGAATCATAGAATGTTTTGAGTTTGAAGGGACCTTTAAATACCCTGTAGTCCAACCATCCTTCCATGAGTAGAGATACACTGTTTAAAGTACCAGATGTATATGCTATCTGCAAGTTAAACTTTGAATGCTAGATCCCAAATCTGCATAATGTGTTAGAGTTAAGAAAAGCAACTTCATCCAGATTTTTAACTGTTCAATTCTCTCTGATCAAAGTAGGGAGGGAAATCTATTAATAAAAATGCCAATTCATTTTTCTGGGAAACATGCTCACCCTAAAAGAGAGAAGTAATGAGAGCTTTAGAGAAATAAGAGCTTTTAAGAAGAATGGCTGGTTTGTACCTGACAAAAGAGGCAGACTACAAGGAATTTGGAAGTTTAGCATCATTTCTACATTAAAATAACCTGTCAATAAATAGTAAAATTAATAAAGGAGTGCCTATCCAATAAGATTTATTTTTTGTCATGGTTCTCGATTTTAAAATGTTCTGCAAAGAACACTGAAGATTGTGCTCCATAAAAGACCTCTGATGTGTATTATCGAGTTGACATATTAATGGTATATACATGTTTCCTTTGAAGATAAAATGATTACATTTCTTTCTTTTTCCAAACACAATGAGCCCTTGTAAGATGAAATGCAAAATTTTGTTATATCAGTTTGTACACATACTCTAACTGCACTGAGTAGCTAAAAAAATTCCTGAGTTGCTAAATCAATTCACACTTCTCATGTATACTTATATATTATTTTAACTGATATCTGAAACTATTTAGAGAAGTTGAAATGGAATAAATTATAGGTAAACACTAAATGAAACTTTGCATAAAATGTGTTTCTCAGTGAACAACTAACATGAAATATATGTCACTTGAGCTTCAGTAAGCTAAATGAAATTAAAGTTCTAGAGTATCATCACTCTATTTACTTCCAATATTAAAAAAAAAAACCATTAATTTAGGACATCACTTAAAATCCACAGGTTTATGTGAGATTTATTCTATTTCATTAGTAGTCTTTGATTCAAGATCTTGGCTAAGAAAGATTTCGCAAACAGGACTGAGGTCATGATTGCTTAAATTGCATTTCTTGTAGCCTGTTTCCTATCACAGGAACCACAAAACTCCCCTGCCCTCCCCACCCAAGGAACTCTCAAATAAAAACAAGTAATCTGAAGTACAAATATAATAAAAAATAAGGAGATGTCATTTTGTAAGTGAATGTTAGAGCATCAATACGCTGCAAGTGATCCAATTTCTTTCACAATAACTTTTATATTTAGTCTTACAGCTATTTGAGGTGAGCAGGGTTTGGGGCTCTTCAGATGTGCTTCTGAGTAGACTTTAGATTCTTCTCATCATGTAGTCACCTCTGATTATACCTGTTTACATCTAACATATAAGATTTCAATTGAGCTACTTGTCTCTGTAAACATTTTTTTAAGGTACACTGACTTTAAAGTTGTTTAGGATGGATGACAGAAAGCACAGAATATGAACATTCATTTTAAAGAGAAAAGCTACATAAGTTGACCTATTACAAAAGTGTTTTCTGACATGAACCTCATATTTTTGTATATAGAAAAGAAAAAAATGCAAATCTTGCATTTATATCAAAGGTTATCCATTGGAATTAGCTTTTTGCCTGCTCTAATTGCAAAAAATGTAGATTTTCAGAGTTCAGTAGCATATTATTTTCTCAGATCGGATTTCACTGATGACCATGAACCTACTAGGCAATGTTAATTTTATTTTAGCAGAGTGAGTTAAATAGGAGAACATGGTGTTGTTCATGGTGCTGAATACAGTCTACTACTTGGTCATGTACACAGAATTACAGGCCCTGCATTTTGATCTTTTGACATTCATATCTGGGTATCTGAATGCCATCGGTCTCCAAATTGTCCTGCAGATGTGTGGCACTCATTCTGTTATAATGGCGAATAAATCAGAATATTGAGTGAGGTGCCTGTTCTTGTTCTCCACTTCTGTTTGCTTCAGCAAAGTCTCGAAGTAGAGTCTAATTTCATAATTGTTGACCCATCATTTTACTTTTATATGGATCAATTAATTAGAAAGTTAGTACTTGAAAATGTCACTGATATCTAATTACTTCTCTTGTGCTTCAACAGAGAGCAGAAGAAAAATATATAACTAATATTTTGTTTATACATAAAGTTATTGTTCAGTTCAGGGTGTTTTAGAGTTTAATTGTTAAATTCCAGGAATGGATGACCCATCATTCTTTTTTTAGACTCAGCACAGCCTTTCTTCAACCTACTGAATTTACATTTTAACGCTTACAAGTGGCCACAAATTAGGATTGTAATTAAAAGGACAATTGAATGGAAGTGGATTTAACACAATGTTTCTTTTTTCCTATATCTATGCTAATTCATAAAACTATTAGTCATCAGTAGTTGCACAGTTTTAGTGTCTTGTGAAAATTTCCGACTTGGGTAGGTTGAAGACAAGTGTTTCAAGCATCAGTTCCAAATAAAGCTGCACAGTTAGCAGTCAGAACCAGAGTTCTTGATGCAATGAGTAGGAGGTAATGGGTGATTTTGAAATGTACCCTTCTGGCAAATGTCATATCAAGACACGTTACAACAGATGCAGTTTTTGTTTTTATCTTTCTCTTTACAAATTTCTCCTGTGAAGGAAAATTGGTGCACAACAAAAGACTTCTCCTGAATTTTATATTCTATTCACAATTATTGATTGTGTTGCCTGTGTGCTTCTCCTTAAGCTGCATGTGCACTTGAGTCTAGCAACAAGATTTAGGTCCCATTGCCTAAGCCAAAGTACGAACATCTGGTTTCATTTTAACACTCCCTCTGTGCCTCATTCTGATCATTATCGTAAGATTCTGATTCCCATGACCTAGGGAGGTGAAAATCAGGTCTTCTGTGAATGCAAATGCTGGTGCCCTGCTAGGATCAGACTGGGGCCCCATGGACTACATTTACTTTGGTGTATTGAGGTTGCCCAACCCCTTGCATGTATGAAAAGCTGAGGAGCTATTCCACGTCATTCCACAAATCAAGGAGGCAGGGTAACCTGGCATGTGACTTTGCAATTGGTTTTTTTATTAGCAATTCTTAGGTTCTACTCCAATATCAGTTATGTCCATGGGAAGCAACTATTTCCTTGCAAGCATGGTGTGAGAATTTTGCCATTGCTCTTGATAAAATTACTGTACTGGAAAATTGGTACATTTGTTGGTTGGAAGTGTTTTGGCTCTGTATGTTGTTGCTTTAGATAGCCATGATAGAGAGATAGCAAGAGGTTTTACAAGTGGTCCTTGACTTCAGTGATTTTTGAATTGAGATTTAACCTTTTCTTACTAGCTTAAACAAATGCCACATATAAAATTCCTATACCAAATATTTACAATACTTCATATTTTATTGTTTCAAGAGGTCAAATATAAAATAAAAATAAAACTCAAATTAAAAAGGCAAAAGAAAGGCTTACTTCTTAAAAATATATTATCCTTATTTGCTTCTTCTGAGAACAGTCTAACTCAAAAGGAAATAAACCCTTTTATGCAAAAGGATAGAAAATTACATGATGCAATTCCTGCAATTTTACATGAAGAATTTCACTGAATGAATGAGTGAATAAATCAGTGTTGTGTATTATGCAAAACGCTACAGTAAAAAATACACCAAATAGGCTCTAAGTTTAGAAACCAACATCCTGGTTTATACTGTATAATAGAAGTCTTAATTCCTAGTAAACAATCCCCTTGCTTTTCTAAATGCAACATGTTATTGGCAATTCCGTGAAGGTCAAAATAATGCTACTAATTCTTTGAAGATGTTTGTTAGATCTTAGTCATACCTGCAACTATGATCAAGGCATTTCAACTGCAGGAACTGCAGGAATATGATTGAATCCATAATTAATGCCATATAAAGACGTCTCTATTAAAAAGCACCAAATTCACCAGTTGTCCTGGTTTCTGCTGTGGTAGAGTTCATGAAAACCAGTTTATAAAATGCACAAGCAAAAACTAGAATAAGTTCTCTTGTGATGAGAAGTTAAGATAAGAAGTTAAGGGAAGAAGAACTTCAAATGGTTCAAGAAAATGCTTGTCATTATAAATAATATCGTCTGGTGTTTAAATATGTTTTGGGAAGCCTACAGAGAACAGATCTAAACAAAAAAAGGAACCTAAATAAGCAGGTCTGGGTGGTTTTGGGTTTGTTTTTTTTCCCAAGGTTAGGGATTTTCCTAGGTTTTATTTCAGCAAAAATTGGCACAGATGTCTCAGGCCTCAGATATCAAAACTTTAAATTTTATACATGAGCCCACAAATATTAAACTTGAAATTTTGTTTGGATGGATCATTAAGTGATATTGCAAAATACTAAAATTATTATGCAATTTAAATAATTACAAAATTTGCATATGAGGGAAAATTTATTTTTACCAATGTAAGGTCTTAAGTCATGGAGATATGCAGAAATCTGGATTACTGTCCTTCAGCAAAAGATGGTAGGTTTTTTTTAAATTGTGACTACATTGCTCAACCAGTAGAGAACATATAATTTCATGTGCTGGCTGTGGTTTATAAAGGCATCTGGACTGACTAACTTCTTCAGAATTGAGTCTTTTCTTCATTGAGTAAGGCAGACTCTGAAATGAATTTCTGCCAACCCACAGCCTGCAGAGCAATTAAAATCAGTGGAAAAAAGAATGTTCATCAAAGCAAAACCACTATATAAAGTCACAAGAGGATGGGGCACACTTCATCATTCTAGATACACTTTTATACAGATAGATCTCATGGTGACAGTCTAGAAATTTTTACACATTTTCAAGATGTATTTTATTAATCCTGTATTTTTCTTTCATTATTAATCAAAAATCCTTTAGACTACGAAGGTGTTGCTCAGGTTTGATTTACATCGGGCTGAAAGACATTCAATAGCAACTATTTAATGTGTATTTTGCAATATACGTATTCTTCATATTGTACTTAAAGTAAGATTAGGGTACTTGGAACAGAATTGCTAGCATTTTTTAACAACATTTACTTTTTACTGAAAATTCATGTTAGTTTACCCAGAAAATGTACTTTGTATATCCATATCTTCTCCTGAATAATAGCAGTGTTTACTTGGAATTTGTTTCAATGAATTATTTAACTTGAGGCATGTAAGTAGTTCCACTGAAGTCCAAGTACTTGCATATACTAGAAATAGTTATGTGTCAACTTTAGCTTCTGAACATATTTTTGAAGGAGGTTGTTGTTCAATACTTCAAGCACTTTTTTAGACATTGTCTTTTGTAGCTTTAGGCAAAATGACCACTGTGCTAGTTTCTATTGTCATGAAGACACTATTGCATGCATTTTCTCCAAAACCAAGCTTACTATATTTTGTGGAGGCTTGTTCCTATCTACATATATTAAAAGAAAAGAGACAGTTGGGGTTTTTTAGACATTAAGTGCAGATCTGATGTCTGTAGAATAAATTAGAGTGGTATGTTTTTTGAAAAAGATGGAGATGATCTCAAACTGTACTGATCTTGCAGAATTTAATTACTGTGAGCAGTTCTCAGCAAAGCTGACTAGAATTTCAGTGCTGCAACCAGCTGAAGCAGAAATACAGACTTGCAAACTGAGAACTAGGATAGTTTGAAGAATGCCCACCAAGTTTGCAGGGCGAGTTTAATAAGAGTTGCCAAAGTTGCCATAATTTTCACTGCTTGTAGACACTACTCACTGGTACCCAGCTGGATAGCAGCTGATTAGTGGGAATCATCAAAAATCCTCTTGTTTGATTAGTGAAAAATCTGGTGGCCACACTAAGTGAGTTCTTTTAAAAGCAGGAATTAAAATTTTGCTTTAGCTTACTTAAATACTAGGAAATCAGCAAATTCCATTCATTAGGAAGCCATTTTGTTCCAAAGAAGAAATAATACCTTGTGAAATTAATTGCTTGATGTGCTGTGTTGTGTGTGTCCATAAAATACCATTTTACTTTTATTTAGAAGTTTATTTTCCAGAAACTCTTTTGCTCACAAGTGTGATAGAAAAATGTATGAAGCATAATACCTTTTTAAATTTTGTGTTGGCTTGAGTTTTTTTATTTCTTACCAGAAAGTAGATAATTCAAATGCCTTTAAATTCTTGGTTTGAAAAATCTACAGATTGTAGCACATTATTGATGATGTGATAAGACACAAGGACACAAGGACTCAAGGACAGGTGTTTGGACAATAGCATTCCTGTTACCATAAATAGGGCTTGCAGGTTGTATGATCATTCTGGCATTGGAGCATTCCCAGATGTGCTCTCAAATCCTTGTGTGCTGCCAGTTGGCACTGCTGAGTGCTGGTGAGCATCCAGCCCTCTTCTGCTGTTTTCAAGAAGGACCCCTTAAAAAGGAGACTTAGAAACGGATAGAGACTGCTTTCCACCCAAATCCTCTTGCTACCCTCTGTACATTAAGAGGTTTGTGCTACTGGACACTTGGTTGCTCATGTGGATACCACTGACAGATGCAGAAACAGGATCCCACATATCCATGGCATTCTTCATTGTGGCCAAATCTGATCCACAGCATTCTTGTCTGAAAAGTGATAAACAAAACAGAGCAATCCATGGCAGAATTTTCTTCTCTTGACTCTCAATAAATTCATTTGGTCTCTGTCATGTGCAGTAAATATCACTACTCAGTTTTCCATCTTTCAAAGTGGCAGGAGAACCAGATGTTTTGATTAAAATCTGCTTCAAGCAAATGCAGCTATTCTTTTTTCCTTTTATCCTGTTGTCTGACACTTGTGCTTAACAGGTTTTTTTACAAGATCTTTGTTTCACTTGCAAATCTATATTTTAACATTCTGTAGTATTTTTCTCTGAACAAATACCAAATTTCTCGTTAGTGTCACCAATCCTTCAGTTTTGAGCAATATGTTTTGACAGATACCAAGCTATTTGTTTTATGTGCATTAATTTGCTAGGAGTCATCTATTTTCCCTCTTGGTCTCAGTAAAGGTTGATTGAGTGTAGGTATCTGAAAACATATTGAAAGTGCATATATATATGGACTTTGAGAATTTATTATGAAAATATATATGATTAATATTTTACAGCAACTATAAATGGAAAGTAATATCTCTAAATAATATGGCAAACATAGTTAGAAAATCTAGAAATCATAGCTGGCATGATTGGGGCTTTTTTCAAGCTTTTGCTTAGAAAATTAACAAGGCTAATTTACCTGATGATTTCTAGCTCATTTGACTTACTGCAACATAATTATATTAAGGCCAGATATTAAAACAAGCAAGTGTTGCTTGTGGTGCTACTTGAGGCCTCCCACTTATCTGCATGATCTCTGAAAGTCATCTGTGACAGGAATTTTCGTTTTGCACACTTGAATAATATCTGTGTTAAAACCAATATGTTCTGTTTTAAAATTAGTGATGAGACTGAGAGATTTCTTTCTTGTCCTTTTTTTTTTCCTTAAAGTAGTTTCATAAGTGTATTCTATTACTGATTTATGTTTCTTTGATTTCAAAATGCTTTCACTGTGCAGTGCTGCAGGCCTGCTTGCAACTGATTGCTGACAGCAAAAGTGATATCCAACAGAAAGGTAAGAATATGTGCCATGATTTATAATTAACTATACCATGGGATAACTGTTTCAACAAATTTTATCTAACTTCAAAGCAGTAACTGATAACAGATAAAAACAACAACAACAAAAAACAAAACAAAAAACAAACAAAAAAAAAAAAAAAAAAAAAAAAAAAAAAAAAAAACAAACCACAAAAAAAACAAGGAGGTCCCTGCATCTGGAAGGTCCCTGTATCTGTATGGCTCTGGCAAATATCATCTTTTCAGTGGGGAAATCCACCCAGTGAGATTGAAAGTTCTATCTAGAAGCCAGTTTTGTTAATTTTTGGCAGGCAAAAATAAAGAAAATAATCTTTCTGATCACCCAAAATTATTTTGTCTTTTAGATGATTCAAGCATTGTCCCTTGGCTCCTGAGCTTTAAACGTGGAACAGCTCTGGAAGAACAAGGAAATAAAATAGTGATTAAAGAAACAGGTTATTTTTTCATATATGGCCAGGTGAGAAAGCTTAATTTACTTCAGCACTTGATTTTTGTAAGGATTTTTTAATGCCTCCATGCAATAAGCTTGAAGTTTTCACCTCTTCTTCCTGTAGGTTTTATATACGGATACAACATTTGCTATGGGACACCTAATACAAAGGAAGAAGGCTCACGTGTTTGGTGATGATCTTAGCCTGGTGACATTGTTTCGCTGCATCCAAAATATGCCACAGTCTTATCCAAATAATTCTTGCTATACTGCTGGTAAATATCTTCATTTTCCTTTTGTTTGTTTGCAAATAAGCTGTATCAAATGGCATCTATAGTGTTGGGCAATTGTATTGTAGCAGTTATAAAGAACAGGGCTTGCATTCATGGGTCTGGCTAACTGAAAAATTACAGAATACCTTCAGAAAATACGGTTTTATGTAAAGTATCAGCAATTGGAGATTATGCATCTAGCTTGGTGATCTGAACAATTTTTCTCTCTCTATTGATTCTGTAATGTGGTTAGACATTTTGGTGCTTTCAGTTAGATGCCTGAGGCAGGCAAGAGGAGTACCTACCATCCTTATTGAAAAACTCAGTTTAACTTAAGAGTTGCATTCCACATTAAGTTATCCCAAGAAAATATGAAAGAGCTATATTCTTCTTTGAAATGTCATGTATGGATTTTAGCCATCCAACAATTTCATACGTTACTGTGATATTTCTATTCCTTATAAAGGCATTGTTAGTCTTTTGTTTGATAAAAAACAGTTAATTCCTATAAGGTGCTCTTTATGACTGCATCAATTAGAAACACCACAAGACCAATTAAAATATTTAATGCAAGTCCAGCGGGCTCAATGATCAATATATGTATATATATCTGAGGTAACATTTAAGAAATTTTTGTCAAGATCCATAAAACCCCATATATCATCTCTTATCTGTCTGTCTTTCCACCTGAATGGTGGATTTGAGGGTTTTCTCTTTGGTTATTTTCCAGCAGGGCTTTTTTTCAATGCCTTATGAAAAGGTGAGTGACACTGAGGGATGGAGTTGACTGTCAGCAAGTAATGACATTAAACAAATGGGATGTGGCAGGAAGCTAATTTTTTCTCCAGCTAACTAACTAACTAGATACTTTGTCCTGGCAATTGAGACTGTCCAAACATTTTCTTTAATTTTTGCCTCTTCAGTCACTTATTCTTTCAATAACCACTTTCAATTTCCTCTATATTCTGATTTTACCCTTGTACTACTGGTCTCCTTTCCTTACTAAGATCACTGTCTTTCCATTTCATGATTCCTGCTTCCAAAATTCCCACTGTTCTGTTTTAACCTGGAGAAAAAAGTCTGGCTGCTCTCTGTCATGCTGAGCATGTTGAGCATGTGTCACGGCAGGTATTAGATGTGTTCTGAGCTCAGTGGCTGCAGCTTGAAGGCAACATGCTCTTGGTTATCATATCACTTGATGTGCTGATGGCTGGCAGGAAGCAAACTTTTGTGCTCTGCAGTTGCAGTAGATCAGCTGATGTGTGGTAGCTTCATTTAGTTGGTACAGACCTCCTCATAAGACCTCCTCCAGAAGTGTGGGAACAGAGTAGTCTGGGGCCAGTAATACTCAACGCTGATTTTGACTGTCTCATCACCAGAACATGAGGAACCTGGGTACACCACTATTAGAAATTTTTGCAGTGCTTGCTTAAGTGAACTGTGCCAAGTGCAGTGTGAAAATTAGGTCCAAGTTCACAAAGGATGTTAAATGTCAGTTTAAAAGCACTCATCACAAGAAAAAAGCCATGCTTACATTTGCAAGATGACACATAATGACTTTTGAATACCATTGATAAAATAGGGTGTTTGAAATATTAACTTTAAAATATTCTAAATCTTTTGCCAGGCATTGCAAAATTAGAAGAAGGGGATGAACTTCAACTTACAATACCACGGAGAAGGGCTAAAATATCCTTGGATGGAGATGGTACCTTTTTTGGTGCAGTAAGACTCCTCTGAAGCCCTTCACTTCTGTTATCATGCTTAATGCTATTTTCTTCTCTACCTATGCCTTTGTCAGAAAAAAGACTGAATTGTAATAAAGCTACCAATTCAGCCTCTCCCAATTCACCACAGGCTTCTAAGAATTTTCTTCACTTTAATATGCAAACCCAAAACAGGAAACATACCAGACATGCTTGTGATATAACCACCATGTGATTTACCAGAAAGCCAATTTATTTTAGGCAATGGGAGACTCTGGATAACAGCTATAAAGCAATGAGGTTTTGGTTTTGAAACAATTTGTTGTCCATATGGTAAATTAAAGAAGGAGTAAACCAAAAATAATAGCATGACCAGGACCACAGTCTATCAAATTGTTATCAATTGAAAAGGAAATCTACAATAAAAGTGTGTCTTAGATTTGCATTATTTCATCAATAAAGTATTTAATATATAAAGTGCAGGGAAAAAACATCAAACAGTAGATTCCTCACCACAAAATGAAATTGTTAGGTGGGTTCTGAGTTTGGGTTTTTTTTCTTTCCCCAAAGATACTGGGGAATGAAAAATTCTAAATGTATGGGATAATGAAAACAAATATACAGAATAGTAACTACTGTTTTGATTCTTCCCAGTGAACAAAAAGTAAATAAATTAATAAAATATATTAGCATTTATTAATTAGAATTAATTTTACTGGAAAAAGTAAAATTAAAGTAAAAAAAGGAAAAAGGACATGTAAAATGTTTCAACAGCTCAATCTTCAAAGCATTACTCATCCAGGAATATGTGTATACTTCTTTGTAAACAAGGCTGGCACAGGAAGAAACACAGTGAAATTAGACACAGTGCTATGGTTGAATTGGATTTCTGGCTCCATAATTTCTGCAGTCATATACAGATGCGTGTACGTATATACAGTATATAGACATATCTGTACATATTTGAGAGTATGTATAGACACAGGTCTTGGGCATTTGGGCATAGAATTTTATCTTCTTTTGAGCAATTTATCCAATGGAAATACTACTTCATACATATTTTTTATATTTCTCTTGCTTCTTGCTATGATCCATTATATGCAATATAGTAAGAAGAAAAATCCAATAGATCTGGAACCAGCCATGCAACTAAGAAAATACATTTCTATCTCAGAGGCTTTTTCTGCAGTTTTGAATATAGTACTTAACTCTTTTACAAAAATATTCAGATCTGTAGAAAGAATAAAGAGATGTCCTTTTTCCTTTTTTTTTGTCTGGCTGCTTTGTTCAGTGGATAGTATTTATGCCTTTTTTATCCCAAATATTGTATGGTCAAAGGAGCTTCTTCCCCTGATCTTAAAGAAGTATTGAAGTGCTATTGGAATAGATAAAAAGTAAAACACCAAGTAATGAATTGTACTTCATTTTTTAGGACCTGAGAATTGTGTTATGCAAGCTACTTAGTAGAGAAAAGATGCTCTGTCTATTGCATTTTCCTTGTCTATTTTCATGAATTGTGATTTGATTGATTTCTCATGATGATAGATAATAAATAAAAGAGATTTGGAGCTCAGAATTATAAAGCACTGTGAACTAATGAAACAATTATTTCATCTTCTCTGGGCTTCAGGAAGACATTTCAGCAATAAGCATATGTGTATTGGATTTTTACACTGGGATTTTTATGAGGCTTAACTACAATTTCAAAATATCTGCAAGTCCTGGTTTTTTTAAATGTCTTTATGTGTTGTAGAGCTGAAGCTACAGCTGCTTTTTTTTGTATTTGTTATTATTATTATTAAACTTTGATGTGCTGAATTTGCCAAAAAAGCATTTTAAATCCTGTACAGGAGCCTTCTATGCAAACAAGGTTGTATAATGCTGCATGTAGGTAAAACGACTATTAGCGTGTAGCGAGTTGGTTTGTTAATTTTAGCGTTGTCTGTTTATAGAAAAAAAATATGTTGTTACTGTTGTTTTCCCAGAGACTTGGTAGCTAAACGTGGAAAAATAACTTTTATTGTGTAAGCTTCCCCAGTGGTTTTGGTGGGCTTGTGTGTGCTTAGATTAAGCCATTCCCCTGGCTGTATTTCTTCCTTCTGCTGCTGACAAATGTGCAAAGTGCAGAAGTTTGGAAGGGGTCTGGCACATGATCTGGCTTGCAGGAAAACTTCTGTCTTCTGAAAGAAAAATTTTCAAAGGTGTTCCCTTCCTTAGAAGGATGAAACTGAGCTTCAAGTGTCTTCACAAAAAACATGAATCATGTTTCTGTGAACTGCTAGAACTCCCACATGTGTGCAGAGTGCAAGTTGACAGACTGTTCAGATATTTCAGATTTTCTGGCAATTTTGTTACTGCCAGATTAGTTTTTTATTGGCTTTATGAGAAAGCTTGTCTTTCAAAAATTAACCTGCTTTTGCACAAATTTGAGTTTTAACAGAGCAGCATTTTCTGATCAAAGCATAAAGGAAAGGAGAATAGTTCGTCCTTGATCATTCTGCTAACAAGCTGATGATACAGAAGGCAGCAAAGTGCATCCAGACCACCATCACACATATGCTTCAGTGACTGGGAATTAGTCAAGCATTCTGCTTTTGGGAGATATTTAAATAAGTGTGATGGGCAATAATTAGTATTTAATTGGTTCATACAATATATTACATTTTTATCAAGGCTATCTAGCATTTAGAACAGGTTTCTGCAAATGCAACAAACTGTGTGCATACTCTGGTTCTTTTTCATGTGGTGTTAAGCAGCAGTTTGGCAAACATAAGGGACTTTTTCTTTCCAGAACATTTTAACAGAAAGTGTGAAGTTGTGTCGTTCTTTCCTTTTTAATATTGTGCAGTTGACAGATATATAGCTGCTTTGAATGTAATGTATTTAATGTAATGTGCATCTCACCTCTTTTATATAATGTGCAGTCACACACCCTGCCAACATACAGAGTATATTCGTTACGTGACTCTCCTATATCTGACTGTTTCTCAAATTGCTCAGCATTTGCCAACTGAAGACTTCCATTTCAGAGGTCCCAAATTTTTGCCAAGCTCATACTGCTGGAGCTGACAGTTTCTGTATCTCTGATTTGTGTCTTAGGTTGAATTATCTTGGGTTATCTTTAGCCTTCAAAGTTCTATTTTCCTAAAGATGAGGTTAGGAAAAATGCATTCTTTGGAATTTATTTTAAAAATTTGGCTACTTTTTCTTTGGAAAGGTCTAGAGATATTGCTTTGAAAGAAGAAATGTGTGTAATGTGGGTTTGCTTTGTTTTTAAAAGAATTTTCTTTCTTCCTTCCTCTCTTTCTTCTGTAATCTCATAGGATATATGCTTTTGAAGAATATTTTATGCTTTCTCATGTTAAGCATATTCTATCTCTATGGAACTTTCAAAAAGAAGAGGAAAAATTTCCCAGCAGTTTTGTGTCTAGATTACATCAGTAAGGTCTGAGCCTGTTTTTCAAGATCAGTCCAAACAGCAGTAAGAAGGCAGTTGATGCAAATACAGGGAAGAGGGAAGCTAAATATTTGAGGTAGAAAGTCTCTCATAGAGTTTTCAGGTAACATAGATCCCAGCAGTGATGGGGAAAACAAATTAGACTTGGAGCTGGATGGCAGGAACATGAGAGATCCTAGGTGGGATTTGAATGATTGATTTCTAATTCAAAAACTCTCTTATTCATAGCTCACAACTTCTAACTCATGCACCTGTGAGCACAACATAGCTGCTAGGGAGAGCTCATGTTCTTCTTCCTCTGCCATGGCACAGGTGTCACACTGTGAAGCATGAAAGCCTCAGCAATCCAGCTGCTGCTGCAGCCACTTCAAAAACCCTTTGGGTAAGCTGACACCTTCCAGCTTGGGCATTTGGTCTACACCATCTCTGGGAGTCAGCAGGTTATGAAGAAATTGCCAGACAAACAACAGGCAAAGATGATGGTGCAGGAGACAGCAGGCTGCAGGTGACAATGGCTGCATGAGCACCTTTAGCCCTTTCTGGCCACTGTGCCGAGCATACATGGTGCCTTTCCTTTAGCCAAAGAGCAATGACCCCAGCACACATCAGGGGATAACATACAGCATGTGCCAAGTGTTAGACAACATCTGAGCAGGAGTAACTGAAGAGTCGCACCATGGGGAGTGTAGTCATCCACTGCAGAAGGTTGTTCACAGGTTTCCAACACTTTTTTGGATAAATCCTTGAGCAACATAGTCTGAATTCAGTGTCTATCCTTCTTTGAGCAGGATGAAGTTCAGGCCTCCTAAATGATCCCTTTTCCCTGGCTGATTCTCTGATAAGAAAGCAGGAGATGTGAGAAACTGGTGGGTCAAAATAAGGTCCTGCTGGGGAAGGAAGGGTGTTCATTTCCTGAGTGCAAATGAAACACAGGTTCCTCAGTGTGTGCTTCAACAGGATCAGCAAACATTTATCTACTGAACAGGTCAGGTTCCAGTTAAGCACAGCAAGCTGCTAGTAGTCATCAGGTACTGCATGACCTCAAACCTAAGAGTGTAAATTGAATCAAACCATGTGGCCAAGTAATAACCTTCATTCACTCTCTTGCAAGTTTCCTTTGACTTTTTTTTTCCTGCCCCCCTTCCCAGTTCACTCAGTGGAAAGAAGGAAGATACTTCATCCTGTGGAAAATGGGATATCGATGGAAAGTGTTTTAAGCTGAAGGCCTGAAATATAATTCAGAAATGTTGAAAGGATGTAGTAAATGAGGCAGAACTTGCAAGAAGAGAAATTACAATGTCCTATTTAAATCAGAATAGCATTCCCCTTCTGTCAGTGAGAGCTGGCTGAAAAGTCATGTTTACTTTCCAAAGATGTTGATTTTTTTTCTTCTTTTAAGGCTAAAGTTGTTTCAGTTTCGACTTAAAACCATTTTTACAAAAACTTTTTTTGGCTAATCTACAGATCCTATCTCTAGTTCTGATGAATTTCAGTTATTTCAATGGCTGTTAGAAATCCTGTATCACAACATATATGTGAGTTCACCTCCCCAGCTGTGCTCAGGGTACTTGCTTTCCAAAGTTTCTCAGCCTAAGGAGGAATCTTGATGAGCCCCTTTGGATCTGGAGACTCCCACTTTCAATTTCCCTGGCTCAGAATCCAACAGCCCTTTTGGAAGTCGAAGATGAGCTCCCCCCAGACATAATTTTCAGTTTCATGACAGTTTGTTCAGTCTGAAATATTTTAAGGAGAACTTGCTGGGCTCCGCAAACTGTGGTTTTGACAAAGCTCTATTTTGTCTGAAAATTTCCAGACTGCCCTAGCCTTTGCTGTAGAGTTCCTTAAACAAGATTTTTCACAGGTGGTCACTGAGTGAATGTTCCTCATTCTCTGTCTGACTGACTGATGCCCTTGTGGTCTCATTTGCAGAAGTGTTGAAACACACAGCTGCAACTGAAATTAGCAGGAGCATTCTTTGAATACATGGAGGGCTGTATATTTCT